AATTTTTCTTGCAAACTCGAGTCGGGTTTCGCGATGGCTCNCCCCACATTTTCCTATTATCTCGGTTCCTACCTACTTCTGTCACATGTGACATACTGCACTACAACTCCAGTAATAAACATGCACGTCAGGACCATACAGATTGAACTTCTTTTCATTGGAAAAAAATCACCTAAAGCATGCAGGAGCTCAGCAATGCACTTTCTAAAATGTGACAAAAACCTCACCTTTCTCCAGTTTCTTGAAAAAATTTTTCTTGCAAACTCGAGTCGGGCTTCGCGATGGCTCCTGGTCAGACGGGGAGCTGGCTTCATCCTCTCCCACCTCAATAATATTTGACGACGAAAAGCTCGCAATACAGTGGAAGTCGACACATTTGGTGAAAGTCGTGCACGAATCTGATTGGCACTCATGGTTGAATTGAAAGCCAATCTAGCATTCCGTCTGTGGTCGGCTCGTGTAAATTTGAGTGGACGTCCTCCTCCGTGTGCTTGACCGTATGCCGCAGGATTCTTCACGAAACCGTCGATGCAGCGTCTAGATCGGCCGAGTTGTTCCGCAATGGCCTTTTTGCTATGGCCTGCTTGACGAAGCGATAGAATTTGGCTTGTTCTGTTGAAGATAGACGACGACCCTTAGGCATGGCGGGCTGCTTTGGATTTCGCAATCCTGCCATTCCGTACAGAAGGCGGTGGGGCTGCGCGGACTTGAGATATTTCGTAACAAAGACGGCATGGCATAAGCAATTGACGCGACTAATTCTCACTTTTTCGCCAAAAAAAGGGTGCTACCGCAGCGTTCAAATATGTTTGGGCTTTTTTGAGACTCGTGTTCACTCAGTAAGTGTTGGTCAACATTTCAGCTCGCCATGTTGCCTAACAACTCAGATAAACGAAAAAATAGGGGATGGCATATGCAATTGACGCGCACTTATTTATTACCTTTGTTACCGGGTTGAATAGAAAATTCAACTTAAACGGCAATCCAGGGGGATTTAGCGATAATTTTTGGACGACATGGCTTCCCTGACCTCTATGAATCCGCTAAGGCCGATCACTTATAGCTGATCAATAGCGATCAATCGATAGGAAGCACTGCCTTCCATCCCGGAGCGTTCTGGGCAGTAGGGCTGTTTTCGGGGACGGCATTTCGAATCATTACAAGAATACCCTTCTGACCGCCAAATCATTTCCAATTTTCGCTCGTTCGTGTGATAACGCAGAGGCTGTTACCTACGTTATTGGTGCTCCGAAATAGTCGTCACGTTCTTCAGTTCAGACGCCATATTTCCAGTGGTACTCATGCTGCGAAAGCACATACCTCCTGAAGGTCTATCAACTTTCGAATGAAGTCTTGCTTTCTGTGGGGTACGTTGAAGGAAGAATTCTATGAAGGCAATACTTCACACTCCAATGTGTATTGACATTTTCCATTAGGAATTCCCTTCCGAAGATTCTCCGATGTCTTCAAGAACTCAGGAGAGATGGAACTGCATCTTCCAGTTCGAGGAATTTTCTTCGGGCTTGTTTTATAGCTGCTATCGCTTCACTTGAATATAATTAACTATTGAGTGATTAGCTACTCAATGAACATCCTATAGAATTGTATCATCTTCATCTTCCACATTTCTCAACTTTCTATAAAAACAAACTGGATACCTTGGTCCAGAGGGACTTTCTATAGGTATATTCACACTATCATAAGATTTTTTCTCATACTGAACACACATTCTTACCTTGAGAATGAAGCCCATGTCCCAAGCGCTCAGCGACATTCAGACACCTTGCAGGAGTACGCACCGCTCTCACGTAGCTGCACCCATTGAAGGAGAAATTTTGGTGTACCTAGTTTTAGACTAATGATGGGAGTGATAGTTCAGAATAGTGCAAAAAGACGGCGGAAACGTTAAAAACGATACATTTAGAGAAATATATGGCTTCAAAAAAAGTGACATTAGGGGTGGGATGACAATGTGATTACAAAAGATGTATGGGAGCGGTACTTGAACGATCTATCCAATGTGTGCCATTGCGTACAGCTCGCTAGAGCAAGCTTCCCCTGCGTGCAAGGGGACCGTCACGATGCGAGAGATGCAACCTCTACAGCCCTAACAACGCCGTGAGAAGTCGTCCGGCCTTGGGCGTGTACGTCACCTGAATCGGTCTTGCATAGGCCGACAGCATCGCTTGTGCTACCCTTGGGGTTCACACTTTCTTCCCAGGGAGAAATCCCAATGAGCACTTTTTTCGTAAACTGTGCCTCCAAAGCATAATACGATCATCAGCTTTTTCCACGTTTTGAAAGATTTTCAAGCAAACTAGCTTTTGCATAAGTAATATCAATAAATTATCGAAATTCTTCGGGTCGGGAATCCCTGATTACAGTGACACCGATGTCATATCATTTTTATACAAAAAGAAAACGTAAAAACTTATATTTCATGATAAATAACGACAAAAAAAGCAACAAGTTCGAGGAAAGACAACAGTTAGTCCAACAATAAAGAAAAATCGATCAACCGGATTCATACTAACGGATTAGATGAGACTTTATGAATACAAATGCGATGGTTTTAATTTCTGTAGTCAAGCCTTTAAGGCTATATTGGCCCTGGTCAAAAACGATGCGACGCCGCACGCGTGACGAGAGTATAAACAGCTCGGGCGATACTTGTTAGGAAGATATGGTACCATAATTTTGATAAAAACGGTTTCGATACGGAAGTTTGAAAAAATCAAAAAACTGGGAGCATTGTACTTAGGTAAAGAAAGGTGCGGTGTGGTTACGAGGCATTGTTATTGATCAATTCGCAACAAGAGATTATGGTAAACGTCTAAAAACGATGGTGTAAACAGGTTGTGACGTTGGACGTTATTCAAGGCAAAACAATGACGATAGTTGCACAAAAAAATCGAATTATCATAATGAATGGAATGAGAAACGATAAAGCAATAAGGCAATCCTACACAGTCCTTCAGGGGATTCATCAGTTCAAAGGGGTCACAGCCCAAAAAATTTAAGAAGCCAAGAACGACAAGTCGAGAGATTTGAGCATGATTCTAATACAACAACGGGGACGATTTGTGTATAGGTAAGATTGAATCTCGTTCCCAGACCGATTAGCCGACCCCTGGGTGAGCTTCGGAGAGATGTTGAGGGGCTAGGTGGGATTTCGAATAAGAAACTCCCTAGGAATTACGATTCTGTCTGGTGAACGGAACTTGGGCGAGAGTAAGGACGAAGGGAGGTGGATTGATGCTTCATCAGACTGCATGACTATCCAAATAACCACTAGGCCGGTCAGGACCACCCTCCACCTTTTCGTTGGGTATGGAATCAGCAAGATGGGACCTGGATGAGCACCAGTTTTGGCTACAGGTGACTGAAATTAGACGAATACGATTTTTACAAAGGCAGGATAGGATAACTAACAAGTTCCATTGAAGTTAGAGCTCCTACGAACTGAACGATATCCCCCTCAAAGACTGACCACTAATATCAACATCTAGATACACAAATGAGAGGGAAAGGAGTGTCACATGCTCGTGGATGCCAGGTTTGTGAATCCTCCCTGTTGAGAGCTCTCGCCAGCATTTCGACTCGTTAAGGCTGACCGTTGCCGTTGCCGG